ACATTGCTGCCGTATTTCTGATATAGTTTTTTGGAAATTTCTCAGTTTTTAATAACAATTAATTTCTTTTACTATTTTTTCTGTACTCCTATAACAGCGCCAGACAACACCTCCAGAGGAATAACGCCAATTTTGAAACACCCTGTATTTTATGTTCTTTTGAATTTTTGTGGTTAAAAGAAGAGATAAACATACAAACAGTTATATCGCTAAATTCAGAAAAAAATAAGAATTTTAAAACGCCCACAGCCAACTATGATTACCATTTAAAAAAACTTATGTTAATTTTTTATCTCGTAAATCAAGTTGACTATGGCAACGAGTGCTAGTTTATTGGATTCAACGCAAAAAGTTCAACCAAGAACAATTTTAACTTTTTTCTAAGTTAAGCAGTTTACGTAAAATGTGATACTTAAAAAATGTTGATTTCTTGCCTGTTTAGGATATTTCATGAACCAAGTCGGGTACCTAAATTTTGAAACCGGTAATGAATAGGCAGTCGAATTCTGCCCAATTTTGCCCATATAACAGATTATCTATCTTTAAAAATGTAGAAGTTACCCATTCAAAGATTCAGAAAATTCGTCCTCTTAACATTCGGGAACAAGAAGGAGATGCAAAGAAACAAGTCAAGACCATCGGCGGACGAGTCATTAGTTCCGCCCTTTTCATCAGGCAAATTCGATAGAGTCAAAGCTCTGTATTTGGCCATGCGTTGTCATGATGCAAAATGATGCGTTTTTCATTATTAGGACGGACTTTGGCGATGACTATTGATTCTATATCTGAGTATTCTGATCTTCTAAACACATAGTCGCCACACAGCCAGTCTTCATAAAAAAGATCTTGCTTTAATTACATTGATGCACGAAACGAATACTTATATGCGTTTTCTAGCCAAAGACCAACGCTAGGTGATTTCGAAGATTCCAAAGCTTCATATTTGTACGATTTGCGACGTTTGAAACATTTGCAGACCGTCATTGCCTTTTTTTACAAACTTGCTTATTTTCATTAGATTAATTCACAAAACAAATATAACCGCCGTTTTCTGGCCAAAGACAAACTCTAGGTGATTTCGAAGATTCTAAAGCTTCACAGATATCATCACAGTTTTCAGCACGAGTAGCTTTCCATAAATTTGCGATCCTGATTCATTAGAGATCTCTCGTCCAAGTTAGAAATCAAATACTTACTGCCTAGTTTTCAATTAAGCAGTTTAGAATAAGTTTAGAGCTTCCCCGAAGGAGCAAATGTGGACATTTAGAGAACCATGAACAAAAATCTCCGAAATAAAAGCTGATTTTGTATTCAAAGTCTTTAACAAAAACCTTATTGTCCCCGGCTATGTGCTTATCACACGCTGCTTAAATAATTCTCGAAGCTGTTAAACCCGTTAGGGCTCACCGGGCTCTCGCCCTTAAACAATGCCTTGTTTGGAGTGGCTGAAGTCGCTATTGGCCTTTCTGAGATCTGTTTATCACTTACACGCATTCAAGAGTAGAATGATTTTGAAAAGAGTTAACCCAACGCTGTTAACTAATTTAGGCTCAGTTTGCAAGAAAATGTCCCAACCTGTCTAGACGAGGAAATGAGTATTGACAAGTTTCGAAATGTTTGTATACTGAACTGGAATATATTAAGCTTGTCTAACAGATGAGCTATTGTTTCGATGCAATAAGACGTAGAGCCACAAGGGATTAACTTGGTATCAGATAATCCGGCAGCTAGAATCACCAATACGAGGTAATATTCCGGTTCAAATATCGAGTCTTTGCCTTTGGGCGATGATTAATTGGAACCTGATCTCGCGGGAATTTTCGGCTTTTTGTATTCTGGCCGTATGTAGTCGTTTATTTCCAGCATCATACGTTATAAAGCTGACCGCACATGACGGCTATACAACACACAAAAACTACTCAAATTACTACCGCCCGTGCAGCGGTAAAAGGCAAAGTTAAAGGGAAAAGGAGGAGGTTCGAAAAAGAAGTTTTTGCCTTGAAGAAAGTCCTTGTCGTAAATTTGAAATATCTGACAGTGCAGGTTTATTCGATGATTTAAGCTGAGAAAAAGGGCAAGTTTGGAATTGAAATTTATATGTAATGAGCGAGCATCTACCAGTTTTCGCTTATCTCGATTATTTACATAGTGGTCTTAAAAAAATAATTTAGTATTGCAGTGATCTTTCAATTCAGGCTCGTGTTGACGCTAAAACTTCGGAGTCGACTTCAGACAAAAACTCAATATAATAGTTGGAAGGAAACTTCACTTAGTTGAAAATCTTCCAGAATCAAAGATTGCGGGCGCAATGCTGATTTGGGTAATTTTTCGTGCACCCATGTGTATCGAGTTTCTGTCTTAAATTGTCTATGAGGACTTAGCTTCTACATGAGCTAAAGAGCGTGAAAATTGGACCAAGAGCAGAAAAGTTGTCGCAGCCCTACTGAAAAGAGGATTTTTTGGGACCACACTGCAAATATAACAGGTGGCCCAAAAATTTCTAATCCATTTGCAAAACCATATTTTTGGTTCAACTTTAAACTTTTTGGGTTAAGAGCGACAAAAAACTTTTTGGGTCCAAGTAGGAGCATGCCGAACTTTTATAAATCTTGAGTTTTTTATTTCTCACCCTGTAGAAAATTTGTCTGCTATGCTTAATTTTTACCAAAACATTGACCAACAGAAGACAAACGGGGCTCAATCACGCTTCCGCCAGAAGCCAAATCGCGCTTGTAACAATCAGAATTGATTCAGTTCCAAAGTAAGGGCAAATTTGGCCGTGTAGGGTTCATTTTGTTGAGCAGTTTAGTTGAAATTATCAGCTCAAAATGCAACGTAGTGGCCTCATTTGTGACGCTGGCAATATCTACCACAATGTAAGTGGACGTTCTGCTCGTCTACGGATTTACATACATATTATTTACATTTATAAGAAATATGTGAGCAACTCACTCAGACTAAGAAACATTGGTCAATTGAAGCATTAATAAAAACTGAAATTTTATTTCTAAGGTCCACTCGATTTGAATTCTTCACTTTTGCGCACAGCTGTGCATTAGGAATTCGAAATTTTTGTTGATATTGTTTAAATAATTTCAATATGATGAGTGAAAAAGTATGTTATAGCCGTAAAGAATCATTATCGATTGGAAAGTTGCTTGCGGTTACTTATTTGAAAGTTAATAGTTTTTGAGGTACAAGATGTCAAACTGTTCTAAAATAAAAAATTTGAAATTTTAATTTTTATTTCAATTTTAACCAGTTTTACGACCACCAAAAATTTTAGTGTTTGGGCGTTTTTCATATCGAAGAACCCAAATTGCCTATCTAGTTGCAAAAAACTGAAGCCATGTAAAGCATCAGCACACTTTTGGGTTTTAAAATATAGTTTTTTGTCTCATTCTCCATTATTTCTTGAAAATATGGGTTCTTTTGGACCATCTCTGACCATTTATGAAAAATTTTATATGGCAATCTTCAGTGGTTTTTGAACGAACTCAAATTGGATCTTCAATATTGCCGTAAATTGATATTGTTAAAGCCCAGGGGCAAAATTTGTTTTCCTATTAGTTAAGTGCAAAAGTTGGGATTTTAACTTCTACTAGTTCAATGAATTTATTGAAAATGCGCCGCCACAGCTTAGTATCGAATAAATAATACTTCCGAAACAATTTTTTTTCAATACCGCAGTCATTTATCAAATGGTATGATAATAAATGTATTGGAATTCGAGGAGTTCAGGTTCAACAATTATTACGAAATAATAATTTTCATTTAGAAAGAGGTTCAATAAGTTCTTAACGTACATAAATAAATACTGTTTAATGTTTGTCAATTTTTGCTGTAGTAAAGATTGAAACATAATATTTCTGTTATTCAGAGATCCAATTTGAGTTACCCAGATGAACCAATCACTAGAGGATTAAATGCGAACTATATCGAAAATAGTGAGAGATATTTACTTGAACTAGGTACACTACCGTTTTTGCAAATTTACATTCCTCAATCTTAAAAACCCGTAAACACACTTTTCTGACATCATGGGCCTCGGAAACCATTAACTTTCGATGCGACAACTTTGCGCAGAAACATCTCTATATTTTTGCTTCAAAAATAGATCAGCGAATTCGTTAAGAACCACCTTGGATTTATGCTAATCCAAGGTGGTTCGAATTCGAAAGTTCGGCGAATAAGTCGACTTTAATCACACATTTCTCTGTGAACTAAACTAATTAAGATTCAGTGCAAAACTAAATGATTTTCTTAATTTCGTAACTGAAAGCATCACAAATCGTATTTTATTTAGGAAAGTTTACCAATGTTACCTAGTGCTGCCCCAGATTCCTTCTGCTTTATCAGCTGACTTTCCTGAATTTCGCACCGACAAGCTACACGTACCTTACGGAAAATGTAAAGTCGGCGACTCCCTTTGAAACCCAGTCACGTCTCAATCATTTTCCAGTAAATGGTAAAAGTTTTCCCGGGTTTTCTAATTTCAGTTCTCAGTATTCGGGCTGGATATTTGTTTCAGCTTCATAGGAACATTCGTCTAATAAAGGGGCTCTTTTTGAGCCCGAACATGACAAGCAAGTAAAAGCTTTCCGTAGTTTGTTAAAACTTCTTATGTTATCGGCAATCAGAGCAATCTGTATTAATATAGACTGTCGATATTCGCATATAAATTTTTTGGAACGTAATTGACCAATGATGTTTTTCATTCGGCACAATTGCCATTAATTTTTAAATTTAATCGCATTGATTTTATTATTTTTTTACCTAAGGCCAACATGGGATATTCAGAGATGTATTAGTGGATGTGTCAGGGCCAAATATTATCTCTTACGCTTGTCAGAGCAGAAACTCTCGAGCCAGTTGCATATATTTCGAACTAAGCCATCACGGTCTGAAACTCTCTGTCGTATTTGCGGCATTTTAGCTACATATTCTAGTTATTTGCTTTGAAAATTTCCAGTGGAAAATTGATGTTTGTCTTTTTACAGCATTCAACCGAAATGGCAAGTTCAAGATGACTTGCTTATTACCAGCATATCTCCTAGTAAATTTTCTGCTGACGATTGCATTAAGTTCAGGATGTCCAGATGCCTGCTTTTGCAAATGGCGCAATGGAAAACAGACGGTCGACTGCCTCAACACGGGCCTCTTAACTATTCCCGAGGGAATTGATCCCGCTACTCAAGTTCTGGACGCGGCAGGTAGCAATCTGCAAATAATCCAGCCGGACTATTTCTCCAACTTGGGCTTAATTAACCTCCAGAAATTGTTCCTCCGTCAATGCAACATTAAAGCCATCCACAACGATGGCTTCAAAGGCCTGACTAATCTAGTGGATATCGAATTGGCTACGAATCAGCTTCAAAGAGTGCCCACAGAAGCGTTTTTAAATAGCCCATCTCTAATGCGAATCGTCCTACGAAATAACCCAATAACTGCTATAGAGAGACTGGCCTTCAATCATTTAAGTTTCTTGTCCACGCTCGATTTGAGTGAATGCCAGATAACGTATGTGGACGAGGAAGCTTTCAGCACTCTTTACACTCTTGAGTGGTTGGACCTGTCGAAGAACAAGATCCAAACATTTCCCGATATGCACCATTTTCCAAAAGCCCTGAAAGGACTGCAAATCCACGAAAATCCATTCAATTGCGACTGTAAAATCCGCAGTTTTAAGCAATGGCTAGATAGAAGGATTTATCCTATTTTGGTTGCACCGCAATGCGAAAAACCTGATACGCTCAACGGTAAGCTAATCAGCACTTTAAAGGAAAGCGACTTAGCTTGTTCCCCTGAAGCGGCACCAAATTCGTTTTACTTCGAGATGGAAGAAGGCAGGAATATTACGTTTCTTTGTAAGGTGAGTTTTATCTAATAACTTAAATCTTATCGTTTAAAGAGGAATTTTATTAAATTAAAATTTGGAAAATACAAATTTTCAAAATGTGTTGTAAAAAAGTATCTTAATACTGCAGTTCAAGTAAATTGTACATTTTATAATTGTTTAACAAACAACAACAAATTATAATTGTAAAATTATAGTGAAAAGGTAGACCAATAAATCCAGGAGGATGGGCAGAATTTATCACAAAGCTGTCTTCAATAAAATCTTAGACAATACTTCCACTCAGCAAAGTTAGGAGGAAACATTAAATAGGTACACCCACCACGATTTGAAATTTACCTTATGAAAATCCATAAAAACTGCTTGCAAAGACCCAGAGTTATTTCGAGTCAAAATATTACTCAAAAAAATATTATCCTATAGGATTAATGAATAATCACATTGCTTGGCGTTCCAAAGTGCACTATGGACTAGCACATCATAATTATAATTAATGATAAAGAAATAAAAGCGAATTGGATGCGGAAAAATGAGCAAATAAGAATAGCAATACGTAAGATTGGAAAGAAAGAATCAATTATCTGGCTAACTAAACGAAATTATCCTGTTTACTTTTCCAGTATTTTCAACGGGAGATTAAACATCTGAGGTATTAATTCACCACATAACTTGAGCAGCTGTTTCTTGCGCAATATTTTTCAAGCTGTTCGCTGCGTCTACCGGTTAGTTCAATACAAAACAATTCTTAGACTCCTTCGTCGTAGCTTCTCCAATTGCAATATCTTCAATATGAGTTTTCATCCTGTTACGCACTGCGTCAATATTGCTGGTAAATATTTGCCTGTAAGTAGGCTGTAATTTTTTTAAATGTCCATGCAAAAAAGTCTGGCAGGTTGAGGTCTGCAGATTGCGCTGGCCCATCAATGCGATCAATGGGACCAGCGTTACTTAAGCGTCGATTTTCTAAAGTTTTTTCGAAGAAAATTGAGGCCAACTTTTCTAAAATAAGTCTGAGCTCTATCATGTATAAGATCATCGTCGTTCTGCTTTGAAGCGGAATATCCTTCAGTAGTCGAAGTAAAAAATTCTATAAAACCTCTAAAATCTGGTTCGCTGAAAGAAAAATGGTTCAATTACTTGATTATTAGTTATTCCCGCTCAATTGTCCGGGAAGAATGTTCTCTGACAATAAGCTTCCCGAGAATCATGAGGATTTTCGATGTCCACACAAGATCACTAGAGAAAATCTTGACTCCATCTCTTGGAAATTTAAACCCATTTAGCGCACTTCTTCCCGAATAAATTGTGCTGTTTGACAAACATTGGAATGGCAAAATACTTCATTCAGATGCCCCAGTTTAAGCTGTTTTAATCTTATTTTCGAATTTCCTTCATTTCTTTGACGCGCTGCGATTAGTTCTCTCTGAACAAGTACCTCGAACGGAACGTATTGTTTTTATTTTACTTTCGGCTTGAACGAAAGCTTTCGCCGCTTAAAATTGAAACACATTTGGTTACGACTTTTCTAATTCAATATTCATTTTAGTCATTCAAGCGATAACAACGGATAATTCAATATTTCCAGCAGGTACATTGGAATATCTCTCCTTTCGAACTTACGTTTCGTAACATTGCTTCACATGAAAATGTTTGATTTCGGCACTTCTACTTAATTAAACTTTAGTTTCAATTGTACTCCAACTGAAGCTCGATATTTGCTCTCGATGCATGACGCGAATAATCCCCCAATGCTTAGTAACTCTTATGCGATTTTTAATAAATTAGTTCACGTTTTGAATGTAATATACACTCAATAAATACGGAATAATAATCGTGAAAATTCGAACATATAAATTCGAATAAAAATTAAACGCTATTAAAATCCATGCAGAAATAGGGGCCTTTAAAAATTATTGAGCTATAAATTGGCATGTGTATTTAATAATTTTAAATAGACCATTTCGTATTAAGAGAAAAAACGGAGCTTTGAAAGACCTTCAATTCATTTTGGGTATTTGATAGGGGGTTTTCGGTTCCCTGTTGTCACGAATCTTATTAAAAAAATTTTATTCCAATAAGATTTCTTCAGAATGTTTATATGATGAAAACTTCGTTAAGTCTAGACCGAGTTTGAAATTTAGCATTTTCCCCAAATCTTTTTTATTCCAATAGGATTTCTTCAGAATGTTTATATGATGAAAACTTCGTTAAGTCTAGACCGAGTTTGAAATTTAGCATTTTCCCCAAATCTTATGTTTTGCCTCTTCATGTCATCCTGTCTCATGAGTTTTTCAACTAATACTGTAAATATTTGAAACCAGTTTTGTTCAGATCATCTGAGGGGCATTAAGTAGCTCTCAGTAAAATGGATTTGTACAAGGTGTTCCGTAAATATTTTAAAATATTTTAGTAGCATGTTCTCGTAGTCATTTTATAGGGGGGTCTTCCTGAGAATTTTTTTAATTTGAAGTCTCATTTTTGAGATATTTGATCTCCAAAGTGGGGAAAAATATTAGTTTTTCCTATTTTTCTTTAAAACGGTTAAACATAGAAAATTCAATTTTGGTACACATTATGAGCTAATTTAGTGCAATTTTATGATAGTGTTTCGTGGTTCAGTTTGCTTTTATACAGGGTAGAAATGTGGAACCCCTACTTTTGTTTTGTTCAGAACTTCTTTGTATGCACTTACACTTTTATCCACATAATATTGTTAATTACTATTAGTTATTTATCAACTTTTTATCTCTTATTGGTTTTTCTTAGGGGCACTAGTTTGCCCGCAAAAAAAACTAAATCGTTTCGGCTTGATCAAGACTTTCCGAGCCGTTGGATTGAGAGAGGTCAAGAAGCTCCTATAAACTCACCTCCTAGATCTCCCGATCTAAAGGCGCTTGATTTTTACTTCTGGGGCCATTTAAAAAATACGGTATTTTTGCAGTAGTGAATACAATCGAATAACTTAAATATTGTATTGTATTAAACTTAGTAATTGTAATCTGAACTAAAATCTATGATTTAGCAAAATAATTTAGGTTGTTAGTAATCAACTAATAATTTTATACACTTTCCTGACTGTGTTTCAATTCCAAATCAAAATTAATTCCTGGGTTTCAGTCATTTATTGTCTTTATTTATCAATTAAAATACGTTTCGGTGTATTCTTCCACCATCATCAGTTTTCCTAAAATAACATAGTTTAAGAAAAAAATTTCATTAATTTAAAAAACAATCGCACTTCGTCAACAGCCTCATCATATCACACATTAAAATACATCACAATTGCAACACTTTAAAACATTCTAAAATTAATTAGGCCTAACAGGTGATTAGTCAGGACAATCAAATTTGGGAAGAGACTAGAATTATTTGTTCAGATACTTAAATATTTTTACTTACACGTGTAGCGTTGTTGCTGCTTTAAGCCTTGGCATACATTTGGAGTATTAATTTTGTCCATTTTGG